CATCCGCGCGGCTGGCCGCTTCATGGCCATGCCGACACGGAGACGCTGCACGGCGTTGACGACGTCGTCAGTGTTCTCCTTAGGCGCCTCCTTGGGTTCCTGCTGCTGCGGCAGCGGCTGCTGCTGCTGCGCGTGCGGGCGAGCCGCCTCTTCAGGCTCAGGAGGCCTGCTGCTGCACGACCTCTCGGTCAGCACTGCCGCTGCTGCCACCGAACAGGTCGCCCAGCTGCTGCGCAAGCGCCCCGCCAGCCGACCTCCTCTCCGTGAACGGGCCGCCTTGCATCCCTCGCAGCGCTTGCTGCAGAAGCTGCGCAGCCATATTGGCCACGTTGCCTTGCTGCGCGCCATGACTCACCGGCAAGGTCGGAGAGAAAGCGCACCGCACAGTTGAGTGGCTCTTGCGCAAGGGGACGCGTGTTGCCAAAGCACTCACGGCCGTCGCCCATGCCTCCGTCACAGTGTGGCCCTGCAAGCCAGCTGCTTCCAGAACGGCCGCATCCAGGTCCGCTGGAGCATCCGGCAGCCTGGTCAGCAGCTGAGGCAGCTGCACAGCGGCTGCGAGCGCCGCCTTCCAGCGTGTCTTCATGTGGACGCACATGTTGTGGGCAGCCTGCGGATCCAGCTCGGTCGTATTGGGGACTGGGGACATGTTGTGTGCATGGCTTGCGCACCCAGATAACTTTGACAAGCAAGAGCCTGGCACGTACATGAGCAGCGCGGTCATGGTTCCCATAGTTTTCTGCGAGGGCAGTCGCAAGCCCAGCCGCAGAGACAGCTGCAGCACGTAGTTCACCTTGTGCGCGAGCGGGACGTGCGCAGCCAGCCGGTCCGGGGCCGCGTAGTTGGCCAAGGCCGTGTAGTCCTGGTACACCTGCTGCTGCATGACTGCAGCGAGCTTGAGCTGGAGCGTCCGCGCTGTCATGCATGTGTCATGCATGTCTTGCGCGGGCGCCGCGCGGGCTCACGCCCGCGGCGGCATGCGCAGAGGCGAGACAACAGCAACTCGGCTTCCCTCTTGCATGCTGCGGACTATGCTCGAAAAAAAGCTAAGTCTGCTAAGAGTATTTGCCCCGAAAACAGATCCCAAAAGCTAACCCCGCTAAACCTTATAAGGGTTGCGACCATGTTTGCTACGTGCTTAGCTTGGGGTTTACAACGGGGGTTATAAAGCGTGTGATATCTCCTATAATCCCTAGATAGATTCTCGTAAACCTTACAAGCGGCTTATAAACCTTATATAGGTTTAACCAATTTATCTTGTTTGCGCTGGAGTTTGGCAGACTTATAACCCAACTTAGCCGAGATACTAAACGTTTATAACCGGGTTAACATTAGCCAGCCGGCTAAGTTGGGTCCGATTCACTCGGCAGCAAGACAGGCAGCCAATGCGCTGTCCGATGACAGACCTACTCGGCTGTCAGATAACCTTAGGATTTGTTACCCGCATTTGACGGCAAAGACCGGTCATTCCGGTGCTGGCACCACTGCTGAAACGCAGTTGGTCGAGATCAAAGGTGTCAAAGACCCTCAGATCATCGGTGCTTTATCTGGCATTTACAATCTTTTGGAAGAGTTTGATACGGACATGATCAATGACAGGTCCTTCATTCCAACAATCAAAAGATACCGCCGCCTACGCGTGGCCGGTATCCTTCAGGCCATGGTCCTGGGTGGGGTGGGGCTGAGTGACCCAAGCGTCTACACGGCTGCCATGATCATCTGTGAGGCCATGCCGCGGGAGTCAGAGCTCCACTGCAAGCCGTCTCGTAATCAGATTTTGGAAATGACTTTATCCACGGCCGTTTCCCCAGCGCTGGTTCCCCGAGGCGGGAACTGGTTGTATGATCTAGGAAAGATCGACACGCGCTGGCATACGTTTTTCCAGACAGCCCATGGATGCGGTCGTGGAGAAGGGTAGGAGGGACTTGCCTCCTAATGTACAGCCGGCCGGAGCCGAAGAGGCATTCAAGGCTTGGGCGTATCAGCGTCCCACCGCCCTTTGTACCCCACCCAAAGCGGTGGTTGGGTACATGAAGGCGATTTATTGCATCTCGGCCGATGCGCTGACGAAGATGCAAACGATCAATGCACACGCGTTTGAGGTCGGGTCAATGCACAAGGAAATCGATGCCGTGTGGTTGTCTTATGACAGGTTTACCGAATTCATCATGGATGATGTGGGGATTGCTCCCACTATTTTCCACCTGATTGACTGGCAACGCGCAAAGCCGCTTACCATGCCAGCTTTTCCGGAAGGAGTGCCACGATTATCCGGGCTGAATCGTCTTCGAGTCAGACAAGCCAACAAATTGTATTCCTTTTGCCAACAAGTTTTTCAAGCTTGCGTGCGCCACCAAGTTCTGTGCATTGTCGAAGGCCCTGCTACATCGCGCATGTGGGAAACCAAATGGCTCACGGGATTAACGAGCGCTTTCCATTTTGAGCAGTTTGATGCCTGCATGTATGGCTCAGCGCGTTTCACACAGACAGCTTTGCTTTCCACTGCGCCGTTGCCGCACTTGAGGGCCAAGTGCAACAACCGCCATCATCATGCTCCGTGGAACGCACGCGAAGAAGTGAAATGTGGACTTTCAAGTCTGCAGGCGCCACGCAATACACCGCGCTGCTTTGCAAAGCCATTGTCACTCACAGATGAAGGCTTGGTCGGAATCGCACGGCAAAAGCATGCAGGAATGCGACTCTCTCAGAGATCACGCCGCAGCCGTGCAGTCGCACAAGCAACCCAGACACACGCGAGGTCCTTTGCTTTTGCATGACTTCAAGACCAAGGTGCATGTGCAAGTTCCACTGGACATGGACTTGCCTCCGAACCCTTTACAGGGCTTACCCCTTGGGTCCAAGCTGTTGTCCTCTCTGTTGCGAGGTGATTCACAAAGGGGAGACAAGGCAACGCGAGAGGCAGTTTTCGGTGTGTATAGGACACCTGCAGAGTTTTTCCGGATTGCGTCAGAAATCAGACACCCCTTTGACACGCCGCTGCCAATAGAAGATGCAAATTTGAAAGCGATTCAGGCTTTGGTTGAGAAAGGTCCTCACTTTGTGGCGAACTTCAGAAGCTCAAAAAATACATGGCTCTTGCCAGGAATCTTGAGCCCAAAGAACGACTGCTTAAGGAGTCTATGCATCCTGATGTCCGGCAGGTCATGCAGTCAAAGCGTTTGCTACTGTTCGGAAAGATGCTGAAAGATGCAGGCGGTCAGGATGAGCGGCTACTGCAAGACATGGTCGATGGTTTCCGCTTGGTTGGGCAACAGCCTCCCAGCGGACAGTTTCCACTAAGTTTAAAACCTGCCGCAACTGATGTGGAGTCCTTGAAGGAGTCTGCCAAATGGTCCAAGCACATGGTACAGGCATCGTGTCGCCGGGCAGCAGCAGACGAACGAGTTGAAGGCTGTTTGGGCGCAGGCAACTGACGGGTCTGGGTGGCTTCAAGGCCCTTTTGAGTGGGACCAGCTGGAAGAGGAGTTTGAGTCCACGTGGGTGCCCTCGAAGCGGTTCGGGGTTGTGCAAGGTGAAAAAATCAGGGCGGTGGACGACATGTCTGAGTTTCTCATCAATGCATCTGTTCCCACGTCGGAGAGGATTTCTCTCGAGGGCCTTGACGTACGCGGTTGCTACCTTGTCTTCCGCGCCTCCGGGGAGGGTGCAGCCATGGTCCACTGATATGCCTATTGTGGTTTTTACAGACGGCGCTTGTGAGGACGAGCTGGCGTCGGTCACGCACGGAGCCGTGGTGTATATCCCTGGCAGGAGAAAGCGTTTGGTTTTCGGAGATGCAGTGCCCAGACAGTTTGTCGACTTTTGGGTTCAAGAAGCAGGTGATATTCGCTCGCAGGCAGGAGCGTTTTCTGGTTTTGCGACAACGAGGCAGCAAGATCTGCGCTGGTAAAGAGTTACTCCCCGATCCTCCACAACTTTAACCTGTTAATGCAGAGTGCTGAACTTGACCTGAAGCTGGGCCTGACTAACTGGTACTCTAGGGTCCCTTCTTCGAGCAACATAGCAGATGCGGCATCACGGTTGAAGTGGGATGAATATCCAAGAGAAGACTTTGAGATAGTTTCACCCTCGTACGAAGGCCTTCCCGTGGAGTTGTCAAGATCATAGAGGGGAGGGTGGCACGTGAAAGCAAAGGCTGAACCGTGTGAAGAGAAGCCTTCGATGCTCCGTTGTAACCGGCGCATCCTGTACGACGCGCGCAGCATTCGCATCTTCAAGTTCCTTGATCGCCTCAGCCAATTTTGACACAAAGCTCTCTTCGACCTTGAAGTTGTACCTCATCTTCTCAACCTCGCCCTCCATATATGCATAATAATCGCGGGATCCAGTTCGCTCATCGTTCAGTTGTCTCACTCGCCAGCTTGTCGTATTCCCCTGATTATGAGGCCTCCCAAACACTTTCGAGAAAATGCATTCAGTCACTTCATGCCTCCTGAACCATTAGGCTCATAGGAGAAAGGAAAAGTGCGCACAACGCCAACCGCAGCAACTGCCTTACAAACCCCCTACGTGTGACTCTTGGTTACTGGATATTGCAGCTCAGGACCAACGAGTTGGTTTCAACTGGAAGCTTGTGTGGCCAACGTTGGGCATCCTGCAGAGAAAGCTGAGCAGGGTCTTCTGAGGGCTTGCGCGCGGTCTTTGACACGGATACCGGGGCAGATGCGACGTAAAGTCATAAAGATGCGTCCTTCCATCTCTGCCGCGTGTGATATTGGGCTGGCTCGAGATTAGTTCTCACACGTGGACAAAAGGTAATGCAATGTTTTGGCACAAAGCAAAAGCCGACAAGCAACTTGATAGCTGGCGCACATGTGTGTGACACTACAGGTTTCGGACAGCAAAAAGCAAGCCAGGGAGCTGCGCAGCAAGGCGGCCAACACGCATCCTTGTACTTGTTCTGCTTGCGACTTGGGTTGTGGAACGTTTCAATGCCGCAGCTCGCTTGTAGCATCCGTGATCTGGTCACCTGACCAGACCACCCCAAACGCAACCTCTAAGAGAAGCAGGCCTGGTTGATTTTAGCTTCTGTAAAGTTTTCGCACTTGCGCTGCCGGCATGTTCAATGGCGCTTCCGACATTGTTTCTGCCAACCGAGCCTTTACGGCCCGCCCTGGAAGCGTTCGCAGATCGGGTATGCCCCTCGGAGAGCTAAATTGCGGGCGCTTGTTGTTGCTTCTGTTTTTTCACCACCCCGGTTGGACCGTGCAGCTCGCCACAAAATGTGCATGTTTGGTTGCAGCTATGCTTGGTGAATTGCCGCCGGGATTGGATGACAACAATGCTTGTGACACCATTTTATCGTGAAACGTTGAGTTCGATGAACCTGAGCAAGCTATGACGAACCTGGGTGGCAGCCAAGGCCGGACAGGTGCAGCGCGCGCTCCGGCACTCTCTGCGCAGCAGCAGCGCTGGGCGAGTGATGACGGGTGTTTTCCGTAGCCTTGGCGGCAATTGGCGGGCTCACCGATTCGGCTGGCTAGAGTGAAGATCCACTGCATAAGGGTCCAAACATACTACGACAGCCAGACTCGCATGATTGCACGTTTGTTTTCATGTGCTACTTCAGTTTCACAAATCAACACAACCGGCAATCAAACATGAATTGGAACAACATTTACATTCATATACCAAGCATAAAACCATGAACCAAACCATAAATAACATTTAACACCACCCTCAACTTCCTTGAAGCTAAAAGCGCTACAAAAATTCCAGCGACTAGGCTTGCAACATGAGTCTTAGAATGTTTTACCGTAAGGTTTATGGATAAACATAACTCGCAACACTTGTCTACATTGCCCAAATAGTATATTTCAACACCCCTCCCAAATAACAGCAACAACCCAAACCTCAGAAGGCAGTTCAGCAAGAAGATACCTGCGCAGGACGAACGAACAAGGGCAAACAAAAGGAAGGGGGGGGGGCGACCCGCGACTTATAGAAACCCAACCCCAAGACTCAGCCCGCCCGGCCCAGCCAGCCACGGGGCGCTTCCAATCTTGAAGAGTTCGCTCAACCTAGCATGGCCACGGGGGAACCCCCCCTGTCCAAAAAAATGGTCAAGAAGCGCACGAAGCATAGGTGTTTTTTTCAGCTTAGTTTGGTTCAGATGGGGTTTAGTGCCCCACAAATCCAGGGAAACCCATGGATTTTTCCAAATAAAGGCTGCCTATGGCACCCAGGCAGCAACACATGTCCCACTTTACCAAAGCGCAGCGCTACATTTTGCTCTGGGACTGGTTTGGCAAGACGTCGAAATGGGGTGGGGTGGATTTTTGTTCGTTTCTGGGTTGAGTTTTTCTGGGGTGGATTTAGATTCTCGGAGTGGAAGTTAGTTTCTCTGGGGAATTCGGAGTTCAACCCAAGCTTGGTTTGAGCCTATGCTTTTGTGTATTGTCATCTCTTGACGCTTTTGTCGAGACACCTGGCTGGCGCTTCGTATGGAGGATGCCATAAATATCTATGGCACGAGGGAATGCCATTAATGCTCATACTTAGTCATACTTTGGGTATTTTACGACAAGCTCACCTGAAAAGGGCTCTCAATCCTTGAAGGAGTTGATTTTTTGAATGGCTCCCTACCAGAACAGCCTTGACTTCGGCACGCTCATTGACAGGTTCAATCAGACCACGTGCAGCCCAACCAACTTCGCAAGTTTTTGGAGCAGCTTCAGCTTGAGGGGGACTGTGTCTTGAAATGGAGCAGAAATGGTGCCTCAAGGCTCACTCGCTTTGGTTTGCTGGACGCTCTTTCTGTTCTTTGCGAGGCGGTTTGCAGAGCAAAACCGCCAGCGAAATCGGTCAAGACCTCCGGTGTGGCACCGTCACGTGCGCAATGAATGACAACTCTGACAAGTACCTGTAGAAGCCGAAGTGGAACAGCTCAAGGAAAAGGTCTCACTCCCTGAGTTCATGGACTTTATACTTTTTGGGAAGACCATTTTGGTGGTAAACAAAAAGTTTGGATTTCTTTTGGCCAATCAACTCAGGAAGCGAGAGGTGCAGGAAACCACCTAGAGTGAGAAAGCAATGAAAGCCGTGGCGGCTTCATTGGGATCCACGAGTGGAGCGCCTGCCTGGCTGTGTTGACTTATGGTGTTGTGATTGGCGTATTTCTGGCGGTGTATGCTGTTCCGTTTTATGTTGGAGTCTTGGTTGTTTTGGTTTGTCAAATTATGTGGAATTGGGTGAATCTCGTTGAGATATGTTGAGATTGTTGGTTGAGTTGTTTTTACGTACTTCTTGGGATGAATGCTTTACAACTGTGGATGGACAAAATCCTGCACCACCTAGGAAACCAACCTGCGGATTCCCGTAAGGAAGGCCAAAGGAAGCCATGGGGGATGGTTTATGGGCGTCATTCCCATTCTCATTCCCTGCATCTCACTCACCGATCGCAAGTTTACCCCATGTTTTTTTTGGGAAGGTTCCCATTTAAAGTCAACCAACCAAATAGCTCAGGCCGCAACACCACAAGGAACCTTGCGTAGACTTCTTTTCAGCTGTTGGGGAACCTTGCTTGAACCTTGCGCCTGGCCTGCGCTAGACCACCTCGGAACCTCCAGAACCTTGCTTGAATCTTTGGCACCAGACCACCCTAGAACCTCGAAGTTTTGCTTGAACCTTTGACCTCGCCTGTGGAAAAACCTCCGGAAGCCTGGCCTGCGCCAGACCACTTGCACCTGACCTGCTCCGCAAACCTCCGAAACCTTGCTCGAAACTTCAAAAATTGAAACTTACACCTGCGTCCGGAACCTTTCTTGAACCTTGCGCCCGCCGCAGAACCTTCTTGGACCTTGCGCCTGGCCCGGAACCTCCGGAACTAGTGCTTTTCGACCTTGCACGTGGTCTGCAACTGGCTTACACCAGAGCCCAACACCTCCGAAGCCTTGCTTGAACCTTTCACCTAGCCTTGCCTTACACCTGGCCTGCACCACCCGGAACTAACCTCACCCCGAAACCGGAACCTTGCTTGAACCTGACTTCAGCGCTCCCCCAACCCACCCCCAACCTTATTTGGGCTGAGACCCGAGCTTCCCATAATCATTGGGCATCTGAGTTTCTTTTTTGCGCGTCTTTTGTTCCCCAATCAGCGGGCCGAGGTGGCTGCCGCAAATGCGGGGCATTCTGCGCGACTGGGGCCATGAAGCACCTTGGACGGGCCATGGGGTGACACGTAAATTGGCGATGCCTCACTTCCTGAGTTCCGTTTTGGACTTTAGTGATTTTGTTTTCGACTTTTTGGGCTTGGGCAATTTTGCAGGTTACTTTTTGTTTGGCCCATCCACTCAGGAAGTGAGTGCCGGTCTTGAAATTTTGTCATACTGGTTTTCAACGCCACGAAAAGGCAGGCAGCTCTGGTGACAGCTAGCTTTCCCCCTCCTTTCTCAAGTCGATCGCGTGCCCGTAGATGTGCATGGGTGTGGCTCAAAATTAAAGAGCTGGGGTTACGCGAGTTTTAGTCTTTGATTCCACGTTCCAAGGTGCCATTTTGGTACCATTTTTTGAGCCAAACACATGTGTGCCTTTTCTGGCAAGTGGACACATCGGACATATTTTCTCCAAATTGGTTGTTCTTGACAATCCACGACATTGCCCGTTGCAGTTCGCCTTGCAGCGCGAGCTTGACTGTTCAGGTGGCACCGGTTTTCAATGCGTCCAATCTTACAGAACTTGGGTACTCATAGGCATGTTAGTGCTGCTGTTGTTTCTTCCCCAGAATTAGCTCCCCTGTTTGTGTTTTTTGCTTTTTTGGGGGTCCCTTTGTTTTCCACTACCCAGGCAAAAAGTGTGTTTTTTTGCTGGGGTTCTAGTTCCAGCCTAGGTTTAAGGCACTGAACAACTTGCAGTTGCTCTGTTTTGCAGCATTTGCTGGATTCCCCCGTGTCCCTGAGTTTCGTTTGCACGGGCTCATCTGGAGGCCAAAAAGGCTCATGATATACCCCGGGAGGCCTTGTCGTTTCAGGAATGGTTTTGGGAATAGTGCCAAAAAAATATGTAAGTGAGCTTGATGAACACGCGCCTAGGTGCTCAGAGGCAGCATCTGACTGACGTTTTGATGAATTCGTCCCTTGCTAGTTTCCGCCGAATCCGAAAAAAAAAAGCCCTTGGCCTTAGCGAACTAAGGGGCCTTGCCGCCCGGGCAAACAAATTGCGGTTGACCTCTTGGTTCCCCTTGACTTTTTATTAACAATCAGTGTTCCAACACACGCAGGGCCCGTTTTTTTTTTTTTGTCTTCCGACGGCTCGAGGGCTTCCGGGGTTTGCAGCTGCCGGTGATCAACGCGCTGATGTCGGGCAAGGACGTCTTCGCCGTGATGCCCACGGGAGCGGGGAAGAGTTTGTGCTACCAGCTGCCGGCCATGGCTTCTTGGTATGACACGTAAATTGGCGATGCCTCACTTCCTGAGTTCCGTTTCGGACTTTAGTGTTTTTTTTCCCCCCCGACTTTTTGGGCTTGGGCAATTTTGCAGGTTACTTTTTGGCCCATCCACTCAGGAAGTGAGTGCTTGTCTTGAGCCCGAGGGGTGGGTGGGTTGATGGTGGGTTTTAGGCTTCATGGTTTGGCGGGGGAGGGAGGGGGGGGGAAATAAAATTAGCAATTTTCCCCATGATGCAGCTTGCCCCGCATATCCCATGCTTGAAGTCGAGTCATTCTGTTTGTTCAGACCATGTTTTAAGGCACTTGTTCATCCAAGTGTCAATGTGGCTAGTGCGGGAGGGGGGGGGGGTGTCAGCAGTAATTTCAAGGCGCTCAACACCACGCAGCTTTTTGCAGAAACTTACCCTAACTTTGTGGCATGTTGATGCCTTGGGCAGTGGAGCTGCCATACTCGGACGTTGCAAGGGCTCGGCGGGTTGGGGCCGGCGCTCTTCTGTACGGGAAAGGTTTAATCAAGGACATGTTTGGGTATGAAAAGGCGCTCTTTTGTGCTAAGGGCGGGAAAGACACAGTTTGAAGCAGCTTTCAAGGTTCATCCAGGGGCATGATGTTTTTGCGAGGCACGAAAGGCATCGTAACTAACATTGTGGTTAATGGAAGTGGATCGACAGGAGTGTCGCTTCAATGTTTGCGCATCGCGCGATGGAAAATGGCAAAACGAGTGTGTGTGTGTGTGTTTTTTTTTTTTTTTTTTTTTTTTTTTTTTTTTTTTTTTTTCCGAAGCAACAGTGGCAAAAGGCAGCGCCAGGCCACGCAAACGAGCCGACGTGGAAGGGCTTAATTCGAGGAATCCGGAACCTCGATAGAGTTTTGGGCCGGAATCGAAAATGCGGAAAGAATGGTTCTGCCGAGTGCGCCGTGCTAACTAATTAGGGAACTGCTTAGTATTTGTTCTGAGTAGTCGGCGGATGTCGGTGGTATTACCATTATCCTTTTGCCACTTTGTACTGCTGCTGTAGTGGTGCTCCATTATGGCTTAAACGTTACGGGGTCGAAGATCCGATGTAAAAGATTTGGTTGCTTTGGGATTGTGAGGCACGCCCCCGAATTCCTATGTCGGGACGCCCCCAAGTGGGCCACAATCAACACTCAGGCATACTTCGATTAGCCAAGGGAGCTACTCCGCTCGTGGCTCGAAATGCGCATTTCGAGGTTTTGCAGGGCACTACCGTGGTGGTGTCACCCCTTCTGAGCCTCATGGAGGATCAGGTGTGCTCCCTGCAGGAGAGGCATGTGCAGGCGTGGGCGGTTGGGAAACCAAACGCGAAGGTGGCACAAGCTGACAATACTGCTGCTCTCTTGTTGGTTCGCGGAGGACCTGGGTTGCTTTGGAGAACAAATAGTTGCGCGGGGCTCATGTGGGAATTGGAGGCAGACTAAGGGAAACCAACCAGGCACACATCGCGACAAATCTACAATGAAACGAGCAGCTGAGCTCGAATCGCAGATTAGGGGATTCAAGGAGCAGAGATGCCCTTGCCGCCGGAAGAGGTCAGGAACTCGAATGCGCGACAGGCAGAGGGGGGAAAAGCGACCGCAAGCTCAAGATTAATGACAGGAAGGCTTGCGGGACCACAGCAATACGACAAAACAACTTCGGCCATCCCAAGAACGAGCCCACAAGGTTGGCATATGTTGGCATGATTTTTAAGGATGCCCTTGCAATGGTTGGTGGGCATCCGTGCCTTCACTTGAGGGCCCTCCGATTGAGAATCACACCCAGCCATCGTATGAGCGAGAAACAAGCACCTTTCCACCACCAATCATGGCTGAGCATCCCTCCCAAACTTCCTAAACAAAGCCCGGCTTCCAAAACAAAAGCTAAACGGTTGTCTTTCAAAAGGACCTCTTGCGTGGGCCTGATCTTTGTACCAGATCGATTCCGCGCATCGACTTACAGCAGCTTCAGCATGCTTCAGGCGGCGCGGCTGGGCAGCGATGCCACGCCAGAACGGAGCAACTCCAGGGTCCTGCAGGACTTCCATCCGCAGACGCCTCGAATGAGCCCCAGCAACCCAGAAAAAGCGGCCAGGCTTGGAGAACTCCGGGAGGCTGCGAGATCCTTTCCAAAGCGACCCAGTGAAGCCGGTTTGTGAATGAAGCGCGCAGCAGGGGTCAATTTGGCTCTTGCTTGAAGTTTGTTTCATCTCATGGAGTCTTCTTGTTATTTAACTTTGCATCCCTGATGATTCCCAGCTGGGACGTAGATGCGTGTGGCGCATAGGTAAGTTGCTTTGCAGTTGGGCAGTGGATGTTGGAATTGTGTTTGTGTGTGTGCTTGTGCTTTGCCACGTGCCAGCAGCTGGAATCCCGCCAGGTCAGCTTTGCCGCGTTTGCAGCGACACAATCAGCTTCCTTACTTCCCTTGCTTTCCATCTTCCTCCCGGTCCCCTTGGTTTCCATGAGTTTCTCTTGGTTTGTTTCTGTTGGTCAGACAACGCGGTGCTCTTTCGAGCGCTGGCAGGACCTGGCGCAGGATGCTCTCAAGCTGCTCTACGTTTCTCCAGAAACTTAGTTGCCCAAAGCGAATCGACCTTTTGACCTTTTGGTTTTCCCGTTTTGGGTTCCCACTTGCAGTCATGGCCCCAAAAGGTGATCACCTTTTGTTTCCAGGCCCGAGCTGGGCAACTGAGGAAAGGGTCGTCGAAGACAAAGGCCCCAAGTCCAAAGGCAGCAGTTTGGGCCGAGTGCTGCGGGAGTTGCACCACCGCAAAAAGCTGTCGCTCTTGGTGGTGGATGAGGCCCACTGCATCTCCCAGTGGGGTATGGACTTCCGGAAGGTCTATCGAAACTTGCTCAAGCGGTCAGGGGGCATCTAAACGCCCCCTCGCCCTAGCTTGACAGGAAGTGTAGGGCACTTTGTTGGTGCCCGGATGGTCTCTCTTGTGGCAGTTTCAAAGGAAACCGCTGTGATTCAAACACGGGTCTCATTGCAAAGGGATGGACGATACTTGCGAAACAAGAAACCTAGTCCCATGTCCCAAAAGAACGCGGCAATTGGACGACTTGCGGACAAACAAACAACCCTATAGTCTCATGTTCTAAAAAGGAACACCACGGGATGGACCTCGGTTTTTTCCCCATGAGCTTTCCAGATCCTTTTTTTTCTCCTGCATGTGTCCAATGATGTTTTTCCTCCCAGGAAAGCTGGCGTGCTTGCGCCAGACTTATCCGGGGGTGCGGATCCTGGCGACCACCGCCAGCGCCACGAAGAAGGTGGAAGAGGATGTGCTGAAGAGCCTCAATCTTCGGGATGCCATCAGCTTTCATGACGCTCACTTCAAACTTATTGTTTTTGGTTCCAAAAACATCCCTTAGTTTCTGTGGGTCCGTGGACTGTTCTAATTTGTTTTGAAAAGTCCAAGCACGGGAATCGGCCGGCAAAATTAACGCTGACCCCGGATTAATACACCCCTGGTTGATTAATAGGGGGGTGTCCCCTTTTAGTGGGGGATTCATCACTTTTGGAGGGAACACCCCCTAATAATGGGACGGGTTTATTAATCCGCGGCGAACATTAACGATCTCGTTTCGGCAGGAATTCCGGCCATGGGACTTCTTGTTTTGTTCAGCTTTCTGGACACTCACTTCCGTGGACGTTCTTTTTGTCTTTCTCTCTACTCTGTGCTTAGCTTAGACAGACTTTTTTGCCTGCCGAAGTTCTAGTACAAGGATCAACGGACAAAAAACCTAGCGCTCGCTTCAAACTGCCGGCTGTGGCACTTCTTATTTGTTCATCAGCTTTCATGACACTCACTTCAAACTTCCGGCTGGGGGACTTCTTGTTTTGTTCAGCTTTCTGGACACTCACTTCCATGGACGTTCATTTTGTTTTCTCTCTACTCTGTGCTTAGCTTAGACAGACTTTTTTGGCCTGCCGATGTTCTAGTACAAGGATCAACGGACAAAAAATCCTAGCGCTCACTTCAAACTTCCGGCTGTGGGACTTCTTATTTGTTCATCAGCTTTCATGACACTCACCTCAAACTTCCGGCTGGGGGACTTCTTGTTTTGTTCAGCTTTCATGACACTCACTTCCGTGGACGTTCTTTTTTTTTCTCTCTACTCGGTGCTTAGCTTAGACAGACTTTTTTGCCTGCCGAAGTTCTAGTACAAGGATCAACGGACAAAAAACCTAGCGCTCGCTTCAAACTGCCGGCTGTGGCACTTCTTATTTGTTCATCAGCTTTCATGACACTCACTTCAAACTTCCGGCTGGGGGACTTCTTGTTTTGTTCAGCTTTCATGACACTCACTTCCATGGACGTTGTTTGTTTCCTCCTCTGTGCTTAGCTTAGGCAGACTTTGTTTTTGCCTGTCCAAGTTCTAGTACAAGGATCAACGAACAAAACAAACCTAGCGCTCACTTCAAACTTCCGGATGTGGGACTTCTTATTTGTTCATCAGCTTTCATGACGCTCACTTCGAACTTCCGGCTGTGGGACTTCTTGTGTTTTTTTTCCCCTCTCAGCTTTCATGACAGTCACTTCCATGGACGTTCTTTTTTTTTTCCTCTACTCTGTGCTTAGCTTAGACAGACTTTTTTGGCCTGCCGATGTTCTAGTACAAGGATCAACGGACAAAAAATCCTGGCGCTCACTTCAAACTTCCGGCTGTGGGACTTCTTATTTGTTCATCAGCTTTCATGACACTCACCTCAAACTTCCGGCTGGGGGACTTCTTGTTTTGTTCAGCTTTCATGACACTCACTTCCGTGGACGTTCTCTTTTTTTTTTCTCTCTACTCGGTGCTTAGCTTAGACAGACTTTTTTGCCTGCCGAAGTTCTAGTACAAGGATCAACGGACAAAAAACCTAGCGCTCGCTTCAAACTGCCGGCTGTGGCACTTCTTATTTGTTCATCAGCTTTCATGACACTCACTTCAAACTTCCGGCTGGGGGACTTCTTGTTTTGTTCAGCTTTCTGGACACTCACTTCCATGGACGTTCATTTTGTTTTCTCTCTACTCTGTGCTTAGCTTAGACGGACTTTTTTGGCCTGCCGATGCTCTAGTACAAGGATCAACGGACAAAAAAACCTAGCGCTCACTTCGAACTTCCGGCTGTGGGACTTCTTGTGTGTTTTTTTTGTTTCTTTCTCTCAGCTTTCATGACACTCACTTCCATGGACGTTCTTTTTATTTCTCTACTCTGTGCTTAGCTTAGACAGACTTTTTTTGCCTGCCGATGTTCTATTACAAGGATCAACGGACAAAAAAACCTAGCGCTCACTTCAAACTTCCGGATGTGGGACTTCTTATTTGTTCATCAGCTTTCATAGTAGAAGGATCAATGGACAAAACAAACCCAGCGCTCACTTCAAACTTCCGATTTGCTTTTGGCCTGCCCAAGTTCTAGTAGAAAGATCAACGGACAGAGAGCGAGTACTCGCCGAAGCGAACTTCCGATCTTTGAGCTTCCAGCCATGGATGCGGTGCTTTTTGTTTCTCAGCTATCATGACACTCACTTCGACAGGGCTCCGAACAAACTAAATTCATTTTGCAACCATTTGAAACATGTTGCTTTTTCAACACCAAAACAAAGGTGGACACCACCATTTACAAGTTGCAATGTTCAGGTGTATAATGTAAGGATCCCTGTTCGAACTTCCAGCCACCATGGACTTTGGACTTGTCTTTTCGCATTTAGAAAGATCAATCATGGCCTGTTCTGGCCTGCTTGTTTGCTCAAAGTTCCAGTTGTAACAAGATCAAGGGACAAAACACCCTTCAGTTTTTTGTTCGCGAAGTGAGTCTCAGGACACATTCGACCGCCCCAACCTTTTCATGGAAGTCCGCACCAAGATCTCAGAGGAGAAGTCGCTGCAGGAGCTGGTGGACTTGGTCCTGGCTGCTTCCCGCCCGGCCTGCGTGGTCTATGTGACGACGCGCCAGGAGAGCGCTTGAAAAGCCTTTTTTTGCAACACGTCGGCTTCATTGTTCTGGCTACTTATGTGTTTCTACTTTTATTTGTTTGGTGCAGTTTTTGTGGGGACTGCAAGAACAACATGACAAAGGTTGGAGAGATATGGGTGGCGATTTCTGAATTCCGAATGTCGTCTTGGCTCCAAGTCATTCGAATTCTGAGCTCAAGCGGCGGCTAGGAGGTGGAGCGTGTGTGCCTGGAGCTCTGCGACCGTGGCCTACCCTCTTGCCCGTACCATGCGGGCATGAACGCCGGCGCGCGGCGCCAATCCTTTCAGAAATGGAAGGCGGGAGATGGAGATCCCCTTCTTTGCGTGCTGGGTAGGTGAGTTGCCCAGCTGGGCAGATTTGTGCCAAAACCCACGTTGAAACTGCCAGGGTGATGGACTTTGCCGAATCCCCCACTTGAATGGTGTGTTTTGCTCACAGCCGATGTGTTTCTCGTTTCCATCGTCTGGGCCAGCTTCGGCCCTCGGCCTTCTCTCTCTCGCAGGATGGCGAAAGCTGTGTCATGGTGGCGACTGTGGCCTTCGGGATGGGGATCGACAAGCGCGACGTTCGATTTGTCTTTCACCTGGACATGCCAAGCTCCATGGAAAAGCGCCTTGCCTTAAGACAAAGACCGGCCGCGAATTTAGAGAGTGAGAGAGAGAGAGAGCGGATTAAAACTGATATTATAAGAGGTGAAACATGAACTAAGATGAGGTAAGATGATAGTATGGTTGCATGGCCTTTGTGTCGATTGCACGCTTCACGTATTGCCTCCGTAAGTGCGCTGCAGGTACCACCAAGAAATTGGCCGTGCCGGTCGCGACGGCTTGCCGTGTCGATGCATCTTATGGTACTCGCACAAGCAGGCGGCTTTCCGGCAAGCCTGTGCAAGCGGGAAATAGGGTTTTAGTGTCACACACGTTGGACCCCTTTCTTTATCAGCACCCCCTGCACAGGGCGGCGCCAGGATCCCAAACAGAGGCATTTTTTTGGGGCACACCCCTCATCCACCCTGGAACAGCTTGCAGTCCTTCCGGCTTGTGACCAAAGCATGCAAGTCTTGTGTTTTTGTGTTTTTGTTTTTGTGTTTAACTTCCTTCTTCCAATGTTTTGAGGTGCCTGGTGCGGTGTTTCTTCAAAACTCCCCCCTTTGAGGTCCCCCTGTTCCTCTAGAAAACGGTTTGGATGTGGCGAATCTGTGGAACCCACGTAGGATGTTAAAGAGTAATTGCTGAATAGAAACCTGACTGGGCATGAACAGGTGGACAATTCCCAACATAAGCGCATCCAAACCGTTCTAACACCACCCGCCGGAGCACATCTCCAGTTTCGATCCATTTGTGTCTTGCGCAAAGGCTGTTTTGGGCCCCCGCTTTGCCACGGGGTGTGACTTCCCCATGCGCAGGTGGCGCGCCTGAAGAACATGGCCCAAAGAAACTTCGACCGGAGCCTCAGCTGCCATTTGGATCCTTGACCCGTAGCATTTGGGCAAGATGTGTGCGGTTTGTGCGTCCCCACAAACTGCGCCAACCCACCAAAAAACAACCCCACTATTCAACCAAGATATTAATTTAAGAAACAGCCAAAGAATCAACTCTCAGTTGTTTTTCTTTTTTTTAGTGGCTGCCCCAGTAAAATGGTCTTCCCCAAAAAGGGTTCCCGTTTTGTTTTACAGGGTCACTGAACGAACTGAGAACTTGTCGCGGTCTGGTGCTCGCATGTGCTCGCTGGTGCTTGCTTCGGGGTTGGTTTAGGGTTGGTTTAGGGTTGGCTTAAGAATAGGTAAGGGTTGCTTTTAGGGTTGGTGGGCTCGGTTCGGGGTTGGCCCAGGAACCAGTGCGACGCTGCCAGCAGCTTCTTCGCGGAGAAGTTTGCGTGTCGTCGCCAAGCGCTGCTGCGACACTTCGGGCAGACCGCGGGGCAGTGCGGCGCTTGCGCAGGGGCCCCGGGATCCGTCGAGGCGCCAGCTTCGGGGGAAAGCGTTGCAACTTCTCGGGAGGTTCCAGGCTGCGTGTCCTTTTTGCGGGTTTATATGAAGGGCTGCCCCACTTCAACACACACACACACACACGCACACACACACAGGACATTAGTTTTAGGAGAACCGTTTGGGTGGCAAGAAACTCACTCAGGACATGAGAAAGTTGTTGATATCTTGGCATAAAGCGGGAAGCGTGCAGGAAGCTTGGCACCATGAACTGACTCTGATGCGCAAGGCAAACGACATGTCCACCTAGCCCAGAAACTGCGTAAATGTAAAGTGGCTTGCTGGTTTACAGCTGGAAAGGGGCTGGCCGGATTTTGTTTTGTCCAGGTCCTGCACCCGATTGATCCGATCTGGGCGAAGGACGGATACAGCTACCCACCACCCATACTTTCACTCTTCAGTTGCTAGGCCTACACCTTTGTACTTTGAAGCGCTCGCGTGACTGTTGCTGTTCTTGGTTCCCGTCCCTTACTTGTTTTCCGCAAGAACTTTTGCCCGTGCTCACCTTTTTTCGGGGGTTTCTACATAGCTTTGACTGGTTCTGATCTTGAAAACCAGAACCTCTGGCTACCACAACCCCCGTCCGTCCGAGGATGTTTGCTGCATGCGGCTCTCCTCCGAGACCCGGCCGGTGCCACGCGGCTTGGCATCGGCCTGGGATTTGCTGCCTGGGGCTGTGGGATTTGGCCGTGGGTTCCTCAGTTTCCGTAGTCCCTCACCTCTTTCGTTTCATTTTGCCAAGGGATGTTAGGACTGAATCACTTTTTGCCAACTCATGTTGGTTTTCCGAATTAACCACGAAAAGTTAGTCACTTTTAGCAGGGGAGCAGAAAGCAGCCGAGTCCTGTTGTGGGCCCGTTGTGCGTGTGCGTGTCTGTGTTAAAACGTGTACTTGGTGAGGATCCGATGCGCAATTCTTGCGCGCAGTGGCCTGAGGTATGATTGCGACGTGTTTCATGTTTTTTTCCGGCCCCTACATTATTTGGCTAGCATCCGCGTTGAACGAGAATGCGCCTGTGTGGCTCCATGTTGTTTTTGTTGTCGGTTTGCTGCCTTTGCATTCAATCTACATCAAACTGGACACGGGAACATAGGCGGCGGCGGTCAATTCAACGGCTCGGCGCTTGAACCCCTGCCCGCCAACTAATTACGAGCCATTGCGCTCTTGGTTTTGCCCGCAGCCAAAAAGCATCCCCCCCCCCTTGTATGCGAGGCATTTCCTTTTGGGGGACGCGTGTGTCGGGCGTAGGCGCATAGCACGGGCAGCATTCGTTTAGTCTTTTTGGCGGGCCTGCGTTCGGCTCGATGTTGATTTGCACGCGTATTTCAGAGTTCGCGCCCAGGCGATGTCACCAAGGAAGCAGTGAAGGCGTTGGATCTGGCAAAGGTCCTGATGCCCCATGGCGCGGCGCGGCAAAAGAGGGCAAGGAGTTCAGGTGTTCGTTGATTGTTGCCTTTTGGGTGGGTGGGTGGGTGGGTGGGTGGGTGGGTGGGTGGGTGGGTGGGTGGGTGGGTGGGTGGGTGGGTGGGTGGGTGGGTGGGTGGGTGGGTGGGTGGACCTACAAGAGGACGGAGTGTGTATTTGGTGTATTGAGAGTGCCTTTTCGGGTCAATCATGGCCCGCACCAAGACTCAGCCACATACACGTTCCAGGAACCCAACCCCGCCGGTTTGGAGGTGCTCTGCATTTTTTTTCAGGGGCCTGAATGGGAAAAGTCTGCCCGGCGCGCGGATTTCGCCACCGAAAAAGGGGGTCCGGATCGGAGAGGTACTTGAAACAAGGCGTGTTGGTCAGTCATGCTCACTGAACGGGTGTTGCCCGGCGGGAAAGCCGTAGTTCCTCACCCACAGAAGTGAAGCATGGCAAGCAGATGCCACTAGACGAATTTTCCACACGGGTTCTTCGTTTTCGCCGCGAAACAAGCAAACTGCGTGCCCTGAAGGCATGTTGCGCCTTTTTGGAGCCACCTGGGAGGAACAGTACTTGCTTACCATTGCCAATTCTACTTGAGTATTGCCAAGGCTGTCTCTCAGATGCCCAGCACTCACTTTAGCATTGCCAATTCTACTTGAGTATTGACAAGGCTGGCTCTCAGATGCCCTGTGCTTACTTTAGCGTTGCCAATTCTACTTGAGTATTGCCAAGGCTGACTCTCAGATGCCCAGTACTTGCTTTAGCATTGCCACTTCTACTTGAGTATTGCCAAGGCTGACTCTCAGATGCCCAGTACTTTCTTTAGCATTGCCAATTCTACTCGAGCATTGCCAAGGCTGACTCTCAGATGCCCAGTACATACTTTAGCATTGCCGATTCTACTTGAGTATTGACAAGGCTGACTCTCAGATGCCCAGCACTTGCTTTAGCATTGCCCCTTCTACTTGAGTATTGCCAAGGCTGTCTCTCAGATGCCCAGTACTTGCTTTAGCATTGCCCCTTCTACTTGAGTATTGCCAAGGCTGTCTCTCAGATGCCCAATGCTTGCTCTAGCACTGCCACTTCTACTTGAGTATTGCCAAAGGTGACTCTCAGATGCCCAGTACTTACTTTAGCATTGCCAATTCTACTTGAGTATTGCCAAGGCTGACTCTCAGATGCCCAGTACTTGCTTTAGCATTGCCACTTTTACTTGAGTATTGCCAAGGCTGACTCTCAGATGCCCAGTACTTACTTTAGCATTGCCAATTCTACTTGAGTATTGCCAAGTCTGACTCTCAGATGCCCAATGCTTGCTCTAGCATTGCCACTTCTACTTGAGTATTGCCAAAGCTGACTCTCAGATGCCCAGTACTTACTTTAGCATTGCCAATTCTACTTGGGTATTGCCAAGACTGACTCTCAGATGCCCAGTGCTTGCTTTAGTTCTACGGTAGTAGTGCCAAAGCCGACTCAGATACCCAGTACTTACTTTAGCATTGCAAATTCTACTTGGGTATTGCCAAGTCTGACTCTCGCATGCCCAGTACTTACTTTAGCATTGCCAATTCTACTTGAGTATTGCCAAGGCCTCAGTCTCAGATGCCCAGTACTCACTTTAGCATTGCCACTTGAGTGTTGCCAAGGCTGACTCTCGGATGCCCAGTGCTCACTTCAGTATTGCCATGTTTAGTTTAGAATTGCCAAGGCTGTCCCTCAGATACCCAATGGTCACTTTAGCCTTGCCAATTCTACTTGAGTATTGCCAAGGCTGGCTCTCAGATGCCCAGTACCTGCTTTAGCATTGCCACTTCTACTTGAGTATTGCCAAGGCTGTCTGTCAGATGGCCAGTGCTTGCTTTAGCATTGCCAATTCTACTTGAGTATTGCGACGGCTGGCTCTCAGATGCCCAGTACTCACTTGAGTATTGCCATTTTTACTTTAGTATTGCTTAGGCTGACTCTCAGATACCCAATGCTTACTGTAGCATTGCCAATTCTACTTTAGTCTTGCCACGGCTGACTCTCAGATGCCCAGTGCTTACTTTAGCATTGCCAATTCTATGAGTGTTGCCAAGGCTGACTCTCAGATGCCCAGTACTTACTTTAGCATTGCCAATTCTACTTGAGCATTGCCAAGGCTGACTCTCAGATGCCCAGTACTTACTTTAGCATTGCCGATTCTACTTGAGTATTGACAAGGCTGGCTCTCAGATGCCCTGTGCTTACTTTAGCGTTGCCAATTCTACTTGAGTATTGCCAAGGCTGACTCTCAGATGCCCAGTACTTGCTTTAGCATTGCCACTTCTACTTGAGTATTGCCAAGGCTGACTCTCAGATGCCCAGTACTTTCTTTAGCATTGCCAATTCTACTCGAGCATTGCCAAGGCTGACTCTCAGATGCCCAGTACATACTTTAGCATTGCCGATTCTACTTGAGTATTGACAAGGCTGACTCTCAGATGCCCAGTACTTACTTTAGTATTGCCACTTCTACTGTAGTATTGCCAAGGCTGAGTCTCAGATGCGTACTGCTTACTTTAGTACTGGCAATTCAATTTTAGTATTGCCAAGGATGACTCTCAGATGCCCAGCACTTGCTTTAGCATTGCCAATTGTACTTTGCTCTTGCCAAGGCTGGCTCTCAGATTCCCAGTGCTAACTTTAGTATTGCAAATTGGACTTTAATATTGCCAAGGGCCTGTTTTTCAGCGGCCTGTTGTGTGCAACCAGCCCCTTGTGGGCAACCCCCTTTGTGTGACTGTTTGCCCGTTGTTTTGTTTGTAAGGACGCTATCTTAGATTTGATGGTTTGGAACCACTTCAAGACACATATTTCCTAATGTTTGCCCGCATTTGTTTGCCAGGTTTTCTTGGCCCGACTTGTTTGCCAAGTTTTGTTTGCCCATATGTTGTTCCAGCGATTTTTTCCGGCAAGCAAACATAGAGGACCCCCAAAACAGTCACAGGATCCTGAAATAGGAAGAAACTTTCTACAATAGAGGGTGCTACCCAATTAAGCGGCAGGGGGGGCGTTCCATTTTAGAGATCCTGCTTTTGGGGTCGACACGAGGCATTACTCGTCGTTGGGGTCGCCTCTTGGGCTTAGCGAGGCCCAGGATTAGCGAAGCCCAGGTTGATCTGCAAATGACACAGGAGTGTCCAGTGAGGGGAATCAAACGGCGACGTCCCTCTTTTTGCAGTTGACATTTGAAGCTTTGTTGCTAGACTCCGCCTAGAATTAGAACCTAGTTGACTCGTTCTCTTGGTTTTGATATTTGACTCCACTTAAAATTCAAGCCTGATCGACTTTCTCTCTTTTCCGATGCTTGACTCGACTCGAAATGCACGTTCAGCCCGGCAACGCGGCTGGTCAGGCGCCTTATGGGTTGGACGCACGCGCCAACGGTCCTTCGTGAGGTCACCTCGGCGAAGCTGCGAGACGCCTTGCGGGGGAAGCGCGTGGAGGGCCACAACTTGACGGCTCCGGCGGCAGAGAAGGGCGGGGCTTTGAAGGAGCGCTCAGCTGGGACCGGGGGGCGGGGGAGGGGTTCGTGGTTCGTGGTTCCCCCTAGCCTTTTTTTTTGGGGGGAGTGGACCCACAGGATGAAAGGGTCCATGTATTTTTTTTCGTGAAAAGAGTGACCAAAAGGTGCCTTCGGAAGTCAGCCGGAGGGAAAGGTCCAAAAGCGCGCTTCTCAGATGGGAAGTTCGCCAGACCATCGAACTGGTGATTTCCCCCGGAAAAAGGTCAAATCCTTGCGAGGAACTCGGGGGGGGGGGTCACCGCAGAGTAACCTTCTCCCAGGCAAATGCATGGGAGATTCTCAAAATGGCGAAGCCTTTGGTGGGTTTGGCTTTCCAACGGGAAGCCAAAAGAGAACCAACCATGGGGACTATTCTGACAAGCTTGGGCGTTGACGTTTGCATCTTTCATGTCAGGAGCGCCGGGGCCTTGCCCTCAATGTTTAATTTCTCAGCAGTTGCCCAAAGCCAACCTTTTGACCTTTTTGGTTTTCCTGTTTTGGTCCATATCCAGTCCCAAAAGGTGATCACCTTTTAGTCCCAGGTCCTTTGGGCAACTGAGTAATTCTTCCCCATGGTTCTGGGACTTCGGCCATGTTCATACCGATCGGTTCTGATTATGACTCACATTTGATCGACCTTTCCAATACCAGGCGTAGCTTGCAGGGCTCCTTAAAAGATGCATGTTGCAACCATTTGAAACATGTTGCTTTTTCAACACCAAAATAAGGGGAAACCACCATTTGCAAGTTGCAATGTTCAGGTGGTTTTCATGTAAGATCGTCACCTGGTTTTCAAGTCTTGTCCTTAGGGCCTTCTGACCTGAAACGCCCGAGAAATCGAGGCGCTCCTTGGGGTCCGTCCAAACCCCCGCCCGTCCACATCCAGATAGGGCTCCTTCACACATTGCTCTGCAATGCTTACCTCTTAAAAACACAACATTTCAACTTTTTGGGTAACATGGGCTATATGTTTGTAAAAGATTAACTTTTTCAGGGCTTGGAGTTTTAAAGGGTAAGAATGTAATGCAATGTACATGGTTTCCGTGGTGGTTTCATGAAACTAACCCCCGGAGATCCTGCATGTTGGTACTTTTTGGGAAGACGACCTTGGCGGCGGTTAGAAAGTTTGACTCTTTTGTGCTAGCCCGTCCGCTCGGGAAGCGAGAGAACATTTGCTGTTGCGCGGGGGGGGGGGGGGTTTATGGTTTCCAGTTAAGCACCTAATACTTTCGATTGGCCATTTAGGTGGTCCTGCCACTTGGGTAGCGAGGGCTCTCACCTTCTCAGTTGCCCAAAGCGAATCAACCTTTTGACCTTTTGGTTTTCCTGTTTTTGTCCATATTCAGTCATGGCCCCAAAAGGTGATCACCTTTTAGTCCCAGGTCCGAACTGGGCAACTGAGCCTTTGTAGCATTCTTGGTAGAACCACAAGCCAATGGGCGAATCGGCACGCGTGTCACGCCCAGGACTGGAGTGCGGCACTCGGCCGGATGGGCAAATGGTCAAACTCTTGTGGGTGCTTCAGATCGTTTTTTGTTAGTTAGTAGGGTGCTAGCTAGCACCCGCCCACCAATTAACAACAGTGGGGTTCTGGAAGAAGGCTGCTAGCTAGCAACTAGAAGTCGCTAGCTGGTAGTTGTGCAGTTGGTAGTTTGCTAGTCGGTACTTAGTAGTTGATAGCAGTACTCGTTTGAGTCATTGAGAGTTAGTTGGGAGGCAATGGCCTGAATGGATCCTGCCAATGTGTTCCAAAAGCTGATCACGGACGACGGTACCTTTCACCTTGGTTTCAGTGGAAACCAAAAAAGAACGCCACGATCTGGGTTGGGGCCTGCTTATTTTGACACAAATACCCGCTCGTGAAGCTTGTGCAACCCCGCCCCCCTCCACGATGTAGCATGTGGACCTGCACTTCGGTGCGCAAAAGCATGACTGTTTCAGAGGCAACATAGCTGGCTATCCAAAATGAAGCCTTGGTAAATGTAAACATGGACGATTCAAGCTGCGGCCCCTTGCTTGAACTTTTGAACCACATAGGTTTGGGGAAGAAGCTACTTGCTTGGTGCAGGAATCTGTGGGCCTGAGGAGTGCAGGACGAATCGAACCTGTCCTGCATTCCTGGTTGGGCGCACGGGGAAACAATGGTATGGACGAGGGGGTTGTCTTTGGACGGGGGGGCCACTTCTTGTGAACGACAATGATTTCGCGCATACAAAGTTCGAAACCGCCGACACCCTCGACGGTTTCCTCACGCGCTTGTGAAGCAGGTCAGGCCACCGGCCCTGCCAACTGCAGGGATTGACCATGTGCAAGAGAAGCATCAGGCATGCAGCTTGGGTGCTGCGAAGTTGGCTGGGCAGTTGTGAATGGAAGCGCACCACTGCGATGTGTTTGCCCTTCGCCAAGTGCCAAGGCCAAGAGCAAGTGGAGCAGCTGATCCAGCTCATGCGCAAGAAGAATGCGCCTCAGACAACTCAGAGGGACAGAGAGAGGGAGGGGCAAAGCGACACACCGCGCAACACAACACGACACGACCGCAACACACAACGCACAAGGCACAGAACACAAAGAACCAAAAAGCAAACACACAACACGCAAAACACAACACAGAACACGCAACATGCAGCACGCAACACAAAACACAACTCAAGCACAAAGAGCAGAACACACGTCAACACATAACACATGTCAATACATAAGACAACACAACACAATACAACACAACACACACACACACACACACAACACACGCACGCACAACACACGCACGCACGCACAACACACAACACACAAATCACAGCACATACACCACACACACACACGCTTACCCAGTGCACACTTGCATGCACACTTGCCCACCTGCACACTTATACACACACTTAATACACTTTGTTCTCGTAGTCTTTTCGTTTTGTTCTAGTCTCGTGCAGTTTCACAATCTTGCAGTATTTGCCGGGTTTCAGCGGTCTGCTGCTTGTAGCTCTGCAGGCTCTTTCCGCCGCGTCTTCCCGTAATTCCCGTAGTTTCCGCCCGCGCATGAGCGCGCATAGCGCAATCCGCAGGCTGACAGACTGCGTGACTTTTTGGAGGGCACAGTACCCTTTTCAGGTTACTTTGAACAGGGCTCCTTAAAAGATACATGTTGCAACCATTTGAAACATGTTGCTTCTTCAACACCAAAATAAAGGGAAACCACAATTTACAAGGCAATGCTCGGGTGTATAATGTAAGGACCCCTGTTGAACGAAAGCCAACGGGACACCACAATTTCTGGTGTGCCGGCACCCCACTTTTCACACCTCTTCTGAACGGTTGGGCGACAGGTGCTGCAGGAGTACCAGCACAACAAGGGCAAGGGCAAAGGGCGGATGAAGTTCAAGATCCTGCGGCTTCGGGAGGGTCCAAAGGCAGCCGCTCGAACGAAGAGGCCAACTGAGCCACGTGTCATCAAAACCGATTCGGGTAGATGAAGCTTAGGGCCAGTGCCAGCCAGAAATAGTGGCGGAGATCTGGCTTTTTATTTCTTGAAGCATGGTTCTGGGTAGACCATTTTGATACCGGGTTTTGATTGTGTCTCAACTCGGGAAGTTTTAGTTTGGCTCGGACGCCTTCTCTTGAAGCTGGTACCCTTTGTTGTGGCTTTAAAGGGGAAGGGTCATTTGGTCACCAATGTCAATTGAGCTTCTTTGCGGGGTTTGATGGACAGAACGCCCCCCAGCGCATGCCTTACGCACAGCAGAAAGCGTGAGGTGCACGATGTTTCTTTTTGCGTTGTCTGCTAGCGTGTGTACCTGAGCAAGGGGGTTGTCCATTTAGCCCGGCAGGTACCTTTTGGTCAGCATGGGAGTAGGAAAGACCAGAGGCAAGGCTGGTGTTTGTGACGTATCCCTTGGGTCTTGAATTCCCTAAAGTCGGTCCTATGTGTCAGCAAGGCCCTCGAGTCCTCGAGTTCCGTAGGATGGTTTTGGGTACGCAGGGCTCCTCAAAAGATACACTTTGCCCATTTGAAACATGGCTTTTTCCACCAGAATAAAGGGAAACCGCCATTTACAAGGCAATGTCCAGGTGTATAATGTAAGGATCCCTGGTACACCGCCATTCTACATCTAATACCAGGTGTTCATTGTGACCGTGCCTAGGGCGCTCTCTGCACGGGAAAGCTGCAGTTGCCGCTTGGCTCCGATGCTCAATAATCAAGCTCTCATGTTTAGGGTGGTTAATTTGCAGGGGAGTGATCGTTATACCAAATTGCGGTTTCCCTTTTTGGTAGTAGTATCTCACTGAGACCTCCCCCCCATTATGGACAACCCAGCTTTCTTTCGCAGCAGTGGTTGGGGCTGTTGGTGGGAAATCGGATTCCTTTACTTGGACGGCGTGTGTGTGTGTGTGTGCAGTTGTTGTGTGAGAATATCTTTTCAGGTCTCAGTTTGAAGATACGATGGGAGAGGGGGTCCTGGAATCCTCTATGTCCATTGGCGGGGGCGAAAGGCTGGGGGAACGGAATTGTGGAGCTTGTGGACATGCTTCATGCCTAGCTAGCTAGTTGCCAGGTTGGCATAATAGAAAACCGTGCATTGTTTGCCTCCTCTCTGCAACTGATTGCAAGGGCAGACCGGGTAGATAGCACAAAGCTTGGATAGACGACGCCACAGCTGTGTCACGTGTTCAGCAATATCCCTGACCCCTTATGGTAACGAAAGAAAGGCCGTACTCCAACAAAGGATCATTTTCCTCTTGTTGGTTTCAGGCAAATATGTTGTATGCATGCATGGGAAGCCCACGCTTTGCCCGAGAGCTCTCGGGATCTAACAATTCTTTGTGGGTGGCTTTGCCACACTGCCGTAGCTGCGCCCACGTTCCCCATGGCATAGCCATGTCGGCTGTCCCGGGTGCCCGCACCCTATGTTTTTCGCCCTTCCCGGCACGACACTCGGTGGATGGTTGCGAAGCTCTGAACCACCAACTGATACCGGTTGAGCCATAACGTTTGTTGGTACTTGCGTTGGGGAGTCGAATCAGGCACCAGGGTTTCTGAACGGTGGCCCGAAATGGATTTCGTCCATCCAGAGTATACAGTTGTTTTTTTTCAAAGCGCTTCCGAGGGATGCTCACCGCCTGAGTCCTCGTGAATGCCGTGGGCCTGTTCTTTCCTCACCATTTGATCCTTTGCTTGTGGATCCCTTCAGGTTTGTGAGTTGCAAGAAATATTTATGCACACTGGCCTCCCTTCATCCCTTTGTTTCGTACACCACGGTACTTTTACCTTAGCCTCCTGCGAGAAAATAAGATTTTTGCCCCAGGGAAATTCCCCCACCTTAGCGTTTGCAAACGGACGCCGTGCCTTCCAACAGGCAAGAGGCTCTGCCAGGTTTGGTTTCGCGGCTCGAGCTAAGTTCTATGGACCTTGGCGACGAAGCCAGCGAGGCTGGGCGATGAACTTGCCGCACTGGCATGGAATCAAGTCCCACATGGGTGTGGCTCAAAATTATACAGGAGGGGGTACGCAGGTGTTGGTCCATGTTTCCACTTACCAGGGTTCCATTTTGGTACCGGTTTTTTGAGCCACAGCCACATGTCAGCCGCAAGGGGGCGGCCTGATGGACCCTGATTTCCACCCAAAAAATGAGTTGGGAAGCAGCGGGTGAGCTTTGATTTGCAGTGAAGTAGGATCTCGGAACCCGGATTGGTGCGGTTGCTTCTTTGCCATGCGTTTTGACTGCACTCGGTTCGGGGCCACGACTGAAACCAAACCCCTGCAGTTTGCTTTGGCGCCGCTGCACGCCGAGAACATGATGTATTGCTGTTAAGTTGACCCCGGATTAATAAACCCCTGTTTATTAATATGGGGGTGTTCCCCTCCAAAGGTGATAAAACCCCACTAAAACCAGGGACACGCCCATATTAATAAACAGAGGCTTATTAATCCGGGGTCAACATTAAGCAGCCCTTTGAAAACCTGTTTGTGCTACCGAACTGCCGAGAGAGCCACCCGCCAACAACCCACATCCCTGGAAAGGTTCTTCGAAGGTTCGAAGGGCTGGTGTGTAAGGGGGCCCTCTCTTTCTCTCTTTCTCTATTTCGCTATTTCTCTCTTTTTCTATCTCTCTATTTCTCTATCTTTCTCTCTTTCTCTCTCTCTCTCTCTCTCGGGGGGGGGGGGGGGGGGAAATGGCGCAAGTTGCCACAGACAGCCGTTTGTTGAAGTTTGAGATATTGCCTGAAGGTGGAGTGCCGCCGTAAACCGAGAGCTTGTTTCTTTTTTGCCATCAAGACAGTCACACATCGGTATGCGTTATGAAAGAAAGCTTCCAGTTATTCTCACACTGCTTGCTTATGTGGTGACTAACCGTGGAGGAGCTCGAAAGCATCATGTTGCAAAGGGGGTGCCAGCGAGGATGCTCGGGGCATGTTCGGGGCCAAAACGGGATGGATATTAATGGAATTCGAATGGTCCTCTTGTTTTGCGTGCGTCGTCCACGCATGAAGGTTGGAAGTTGTTAGCCCGGTTTCAGGAAACGCTGGAACTTCAACCCAGTTGCTCAGCGGAAAACCCGCTACATCTCACTTTGTATTTCGCGAACCCCGCCAAAAGCAGCTCTTTCAAGTCCAAACATGCTCCAGGATAGGCGGGCAACTGGGCAAAATCAATTCAACCGCTTTCATGAGCAATTCCCTGTGTTTCGAGGTGCCAACAAGGGGTGCCGGAGGCATGTAAAACATGCCGCAGCAGCTTGGCTCCCTCCTGCCCGGGTGAAGGATCATTAACCCCGGTCAGGAGGCTGGTTGGTTGGTTGGTGCTGCATGCCCAGCATCCCCGGTTGCTTGGTGTTAGAGATGCTGAGCCAAACCTCGTGAGGACCTGCGGACGCCGCCCCCAGATCGGAAGCGGTCAGAGGAGTCGTTGCTGGGGAGGCCAAATCTCCGTGCGCGCCCGAATGATTCAAACCCGGATAAATCAATGTGCCTAGCATAGGCGTCCTTTTGATTGGTGAGCCTGGTTACAAATAGATGGGTCCCACTGGTTTAGATGGTTTTTGTGCCCCATTTACCCGCGAAACCCATCTATTTTTAACCAAAAGGCCACCTATGGTGCCTAGTCTTGCCAGGCCGACTTGAACAAGGGCGCAGCCTTCCGGTTGAAATTCTACCTTCCAGCATCCGCAAGTTTTTTTGTTTTGTTTTTTGGCTTACCCCCCCACGCCAGTTGTGTCGGAATCCGTTTCTACATGCTGTTCTTCCATGTGTTCCTTCCGCGGCAAAAATCGGGCCCTCGGCAATTTATTTGGGGCCCAGAGCCGAGGTAGAATTGTTTGAGGTGGTGTTTCCAGGGCGTCGCACCTTGGCTCCCGGCAGGAGCAACGCAGCCCGGCTGTCAAGCGTCTCAAGGCCAGAGTTTCGCGCTGGGGGCATGCCCTTTTTGGTGGACGACGATGGGCGGAAAAGCGGCAAGGCATGACCCTTTTGCAGGGAAAACACGGCTTGACCTTAAGTGGCGATTTGTTTGAGTGGAAACCACCAGCCAATTGATCAATTCTTGGGGAAATCCAGCTACAGGTCTTCTTCTTCCCACTCCCCGGTTCCTGGCTTTGTCATTCTTTGGGACCATCGCGGTGGTAAACAAACAGTTCAGACTTATCTTGGCCAAGCGGCCAACCTGCTGACAAAGCGAGTTTTTTGTGGTTAGCCACCGTTCGGCTTAGAGCGCTTGAGCAAGGGGCGAACAGCAGCACAAATCACAAAGGAAGGCGGAGCACATGGTTTCAACATGCGACGGTCACGCCAAAGTGGTCGCTCCATCTGCCCTTCAAAACCTGAGATTCGCAGATTGGCTGGGTATGCGTAGAGTGACTTGTCTGGGGTCACATGGCGTTTGCCTGGCTGTTTGTCCACGCGTCCCGGAAATGTCAGCATTTCCGCAGGCGCGGCCGTTCCCATCAAGCTTTACGCCACTTGGTTGCTAGTTACCGGGGGTGTCTGGAAAGCAGAGGTCGCACTGGGATGGGACCTTTCAGCAGATCAGGACCAAGACGAGAGGCCAATGTATATTGTAGCTGTTTAGGTGCACTTGGCAAATCGTGGCAACACCCCATTCCGGGCACGGCGGGATCTGCCGATTTTCGGCGACCTCGCCGTTTTTCGGGGGGTAAGAAGAGCTTGCTTTGTAGGTCTTTTGCTCGGGTGAGCTTTGGACGGGGGCTCCTCCGAGGCCAGTTTCCACTTTAGGATGGACTGAACAGTGTCTCGGAATCTGAAGATTTCTCAGTTGTTCAGTGGCTCCCTTTTTCCTTTGTTTTTTTGGGGGGGGGGGTGGCTGCCCACTAAATTTGGTCTTCCCAAAAAAAGGGTTCGTTTTGTTCCCAGGGTCACTGAACAACTGAGATTTATAGATGCGTTTCAACGTTTGTTCAGCGCACGCTGGCCAAGAGGAATTCGCCTGTGACATTTCCAAGGTTGGAGGAGAAAGCCTCGCCTGCAGAGAGCCTAGAGGCTCTTTGCCGCTGGCCGATGTTGGTGTTTTTTGCTTGATGTTTGGTTTGTTCTGGGTTGTTTGGGCCAAAATGTGAGGGTCTATTTGTGTTGAGGGTGTCCTTGTTGGGTGGTTTTAAAGGGACACCTCAAGAGGAAAGCCGCGATTTTGGGAAGTCCCCTATTTTTGAGCTTGGCGCGTGACACGGATCCGAGCATCTGTGTTTGTTTTTTTTGCGGTAAGGAGTTGGGCCAGGGCAGAAGGCAGCGCATCGCACAAAAGCGTTTGGGAAAGTTTGGCGTTGTAATCGCACAAAAGTTCCTGAGCATACTTTTTGGAAATACCACGGACAACAACGGAATGGTGTTAGACTTGTCCTGGCCAATGCACTCGGGAAGTGATGGAAAATGACCGTTATTAACAGGGCTGGCCAATGTAGACAGGACTGTGTGTAATCACTAGCCCTTTCAATGAGGGACTTCTAGCCATTGCAAGAGAGGCTTCTTGTCGCGTGCAAGAGCGGCTGTTCTTTCCAAGCGGCAGGAGGGATGCGGCTGCTTAGGTTTTGGGATTGGCTTGCCAGCATTTGGGTATGGGTCAAAATTAACCACCAGGATATGGACCGCAGGTTGTAGTCCTTGTTTCCATTCACCAGGGTTCCACTTTGGGTACCGATTCTTGACCCACGATGTGCTGCTGACTTAAGGGTGTCAGCGATGATGCAACACTCGCAACCATGGACTGAGAAATGGAATGGCCCCAAGAAAAGCCATCCCTTATTTGTTCCTTTAAGGGAATCCCTAGAAAATCCTTAATTCTTAACCCCTACAACAAAAACCCAAAACCGGTTCATTCCCAAACCCAGGGCAAGGTCATTCCCTACCTATCGCTCCAAGATTGCAATCCTGTCAGCTTCGGAAGGAAGTCGAATCCAAAGCCTCGCCTCAGAAATCGAGCGAGGATCGGGGCGGATGGCCTGCTCGTTACATGGAACCTGACCCTGCACGACCTTCTTCCCAAATATTTTCCCCACATGGATCCTATGGATTCCATGCTTCTTTCAGGGAGGGTGCACATTGACATCAACATATCGTCGGAAGCGGGTGGTAGGGTGTCGAACTTGAGTTGCTTTGCTGCGGACTTCTTACCTAGACGGTAGACTGCGCACAAGGCGTTTGCCGCTAGGCTCCAGTCTATAGCCTTGCATCTCGGCACGTGCAATTGGCGTTTCTGGTCACAAAGACCCGAGCCCAAGAAAAACGCTGGAGCTCTGCAATGGAAGAATTTCGGGCCAGCGACTGCCGGGCGTTGAACCTGGAGCTGCCGAACATCAATCAGCTGAGGCGGCTTGCCATCCTCCGAATGTCGGAGGAGAAGGCGTTGAAGCCACCCCCACGAAGCCAGGGCAAAGAGAAGACCATTCAGGACTTGCCGGGCGCACCCAAGGTGGCAAGGTAAGGTCTCCCGAGCCCCGAGCCTTTTCGCAGATCAGCAGAAAACCAATTGTGCCCGTGGCCAGCCGAAGAGGGGCAGATGTGAATGATTGAACGCGCTTGCCTTCCGCATTTGAAGGTGTCAATTGGATATGTTTTGTAGGTTTCGGGCCCAGACCCTTCCCCAAGAACTGGTCAAGTCAGCGTAGATCCTGGCAGGCTGTGCCTAATGTGGCACTCAAGGTTCCTGCCCGAGCTGGCCCGAGCTGAATTTACAGAGAAGTCAAATTCGGTGGACTACACCCCGGGATTCCTCCCCATTTCTGGGCAAAAGGACTGTCTCTGCCTCACGCAAGGTTTGTCCAATGCCCGGGTGGGTTTTAGCCTTCACCTGCAGGGCATCTCCCAAAGAGAGAGAGAGAGAGAGAGAGAGAGAGAGCCAAATACAGAGGAGAATGATGAAATCGAAGAAGAACAATGAAATAAAAATGAAATTAAACAAAGAGAGAGAGAGAGAGAGAGAGAGAGAGAGAGAGAGAGCGAGAAAGAGAGAGAGAGAGAGAGAGAGAGAGAGAGCGGCAGAGAGCTTGCGGGAGTGTTTTTGCTTCACTGCGACTGCAAAATGACTTGGACTTGGAAGCGTGGGATCGAAACCGCGACCGAATTTGGGAGCTGCCCAGGTTGGAAAGAATCGCCTCAGAATTTGAGGCTCGGACTTTGAGGCTTAGGGCTTCACTTTGAATGGCGCGACGCCCTTTGCGACTCTGCAATTTTCAGAGCCCTACGCCCACGAGCCTAGCTTTGAGCTGCGCAACTTTAACACGCGCAGGCGAGCTCACCAAGTCTTGAGCAAGAGCTGGTGGTGTCAGTTTCCGCACATTGCAGTTCATGGGTCGTTGACGAGAATTGGCGCCTTGCGGAGTGTCCAATGTGTTAGGGGGCAGACGTTTGGGGTAACTTGTCCCGGTAACCTGTGAGCTCAACCGAGCAAAGTGCTTCCCACCGCCGTCCATTTCCAAGAGGTCCATGCGTGCTTAGCTTTGAGCTGGTTCCTGGGCGGGCCATTCGAAAAATACGATCGGGTCCGCTTTCACCGGCTCTTGATCTTTACCTTTACGCCGAACGGAAAAGGGGGCAAGGCTGACTGCAATTGCGAGCTGTCTAGTGGCACGCCGCACCTCTTTTGCTGGGTTCCTTACTGGACATGGTGAATCCCTTCTAAAGAACAGGGGGGTTCACATTTGCGGAGTAGGACACATGTTGAAAAAGATGGCAGCCGCAGAGTTGCGCTGCTCACTGTGGACTCTGTCTTGTGTTCAGCGTATGGGTCATGCAACCCTTTGTGAAGGTCCCAAAAAATATTGGTGGCTCCCAGCCATCCTCTTAGCTTTTTAGCCTTTTAGTGTTTAGTAGTAGCTTCCGTTTAACCCACTAAAAGCTAAGCTTTAGCGGGGGATCTGAGGGCAGCCCAGAAATGAACCTTTGATTTCCAGGCCCCATGCACGCGTTTCCTGTCTTTTTGCCACTTGCCAGGCACAGCCATCCAGCGCGCAGCCATCGTGCCCCGGCAGAAGTGCCCATGTGAAACTAGCGTTCGCCACAGCTCACACCTACCAAACTCTGCACACATGGGTTTGGGTCAAAATTAGACAGCTGCGGTTGCGCAGGTTTTAGTCTACCTTTCCATTTACCAGGGTGTCATTTTGGACCCCGATTTTGAGCCACACCCACATGGGCGATAAGGAACGTATGGCGCTGCCGTGCGACATGGTGAAACCAACAAGGCGATTGATGCACGCATGAGTTCACGTTTGTGATCGACCGGGTGTATTTACATATCGACGTCAAGCAGTCCGGGACCGACGGAACCACAACCGCCTTGACACGAACACAGAAATACACGAAGCCAGACAGATAGGCAGCGACACAAGCACACACGCACACGAATACTGACAAGACCATACACGTACATAGGCACACGAACCAAATAACAGTCACGCAGGAGCAACATGGCACAGACGCAAAAGCAAACACACCAAGCAGGAAACAAGGACAGACAACACATTGAAAAACAGTCACCGCACACACACACACACACACCCAGATTCACACACACGCGCACACCCACACCCGCACGCCCACACCCACGCGCACGCGCACGCGCACAAACACAGACACACCCGCGCACGCGCACATTCACCAACACGAACACAAGCAAACAGACAAACAAACAATCAAACAAACAAACAAGCAAGCAAGCAAGCAATAAAGCACCAAGAAAGACAGAAAGAAACAAGCAAGCAAGCAAACAAGCAAGCAAGCAAACAAACACAATCAAACAAACAAATAAACACAATCAAACAAACAAACAAACAATAGACACCCCGCCGGATTTGTCACAGGCCTGTAAATCATGTGGCTCTTGCTTCCCACACACTGATAGGCAAACACACAACAACAGACACATCTGTGGACACTAAGACAGAGACAGGCAGAGAGAGAGAGAGAGAGAGGGGACCTTGCTTGCTGGCGTGTGGGGCGCGGGGAACATCTAGTCACAGGTCACAGTGCCGTTTGTTTTTGTGTGCGGTCACTGTGAGCGTCACCTCCGTCGGTCCGTCGCTGTTGTTTGTTTCATGCGATCCCAGGGCCTCAGAAGGCAAAGCGAAGACGCAGGCCGGGCCAGCGGTGTGAATTCCAGCGTGTCCCAGAGGGCTTGAGGCTGCGTTCCCGGGCTCGGTTCAACGGCCGCATGGGTTCGTGGTTCAAATGGTTGACAGTGTGTTTAGGCCTTTCAAAAAAGGTTGGATATCACCAAGTATATCTTGGGCGTGCGAGCCAGCCTTGGCACCTTGTTTCCAGTCCCAACCTAAGGAAACAAGTGTAAGGCTGGGTGACTGTAAAAGTAAAATCGTTTAGTGTGACATTCAAGTCTTGTTTGTTTCCTCTCGCCCATCCGTGAGAGTCGCTGAGAATGAGCTGGCAAGACGAGCTCATGCCCGTGCCTGACCTTGTTCCTCGTCCAGGTTCCCTTTAATGTTAACCCCGGATTAAGCAGACCCCCTGGTTGATTAATAGGGGGGTGTCCCCTTTTGGTGGGGATTCATCGCTTTTGGAGGGAACACCCCTCTAATAATAGGACGGGTTTATTATTAATCTTGGGTCAACATTATGTCCAAATGGCTGGTCAAAAAAAAGGCAGCCCCAAAATGGAACTCTGGAAAATGGAAGCATGGACGATGTAACCTGCGGTCCAATGGAAGGGTTTAATTTTGACCCATACCCAAATGGGGAACTGAGCTCCAGCCGCTTTTCCAAAGCAAGACCCTTAGTTTTCTTGCGGGTGCGAGAGATGCCACGGAAATGAGAACTGGCCTGACCCGGAGATAAACCATCCAACTGGTGATTTCCTTTGTTCGGGAATCGCCAGGTTCATTCCATTTCTCTCTCCCTACTGAGCAGCTCCCCAGTAGCTATTTCAACAAAAATCAGCTGCGGCTTCTCGCTCGCCAGGCCACCCTGAAGCCCAGCGAGCAACTTGGCCGCCCCTTTGGGGGGCGATTCTGGGATTTAAACGCGCAGGTGATTGTAGGTATGCGTGGGCAAACCCTGTAAAGCTGTAAAGCCTTCAAAGTTTTTCCCAA